CTGTCTGATCAGTAAGCCTGACCTCTCTCATGAGTTTGAGTTCGGTTTCACCACCTTAGGTGGCTGCTCATGAGGGTTTTGGGGAGGGTTTGTATTTTTTTTTACAAGAGTTTTATTGGCATATAATTAATATACCATACAATTTGATAGTTCAATCTCATGAGTGGTCAAGACCTCTGTCATTATTAAGATGTAGAACATTGTCCTTGTGAACTATGCTAGGCCACTTGACCTTGGTGTGCCCCGATGGTCCTGATCCCCCACCTCCAATGACTCATTGACAAGCATCATTGTGTTTTAAAAAAAATCATTTTATTGGGGGCTCTTATACATCCCATATGTCCATACATCATTTGTATCCAGCATATTTTTACAATTGTTGCCATCATTATTTTCTAAGTATTTACTTTCTATTTGAGCCCTTGGTATCGGCTCTTCTTTCTTCCCTTCCCCACCCCCCACCATGACCCCTTGATAAATTATTATTTTCATGTCTCACACTGACCACTGTCTCCCTTTACCCACATTTCTGTTGCAAGCATCTTGAGACGTACTCTCATCACTATGAAATGTAGGTATTGGAATGTCATTGGACATATGAAATGGAGAGTTTTGACATGCCCAAGGTCACTCACAGAGTAAGCACAGAGCCAGGGCTGGAACTAGTTCACTGACTCTGGGAGCAGGTTGTGTTCTTGGGGATTGGGGGTGTGTGGGAAAAGGGGGTCAGGTGTTTCTGGTGCTTGATGCCACTGGGCCTGCTCAGTGGGACAGAGAAGGAAGCTGCCCTGGATGTATTCCTTCCGCAGTCGGAATGTTCTATCATGAACCTGACACTTGTGACCCTAACTGGCTCTGGAATGGAGGCTTTGGTCCGTGCTGTGTTTGTCCTGCCTGTGTTGCTTGGTCAGCTCTCTGCGTGGGGCCTCCCAGCTGCATCAACAGAGGAGTTTGGGAAGGGGAAGCTGGAGATGCAAGAGGGTATTTGATGGACGGACACGATGGGACACTGAGCAGCAGCACGGTGGCGGGAGCCAGCGCCTCGCTGCTGCGGCGTCCCTCCAGCAGGAGCTTACAGACGAGCTGGTCACAAGCATCAGATGTTCATTGCCTGGTGGAAAGTGTTGGGACAGGTGTGTGTGGGAGATGCTGCGGGCGGGGTGGGGGTGGGGGCGCGCGCAAGGTGTAAGATGGAACCGTACACAGGTAGAAGAGTAAAGGGAGGGCGCGGGATTGCCACCAAGGGGTGGAACTCTTTAGGCTTTCTTGTGCTTGTAAATGACCTTTAAGAAAAAGAGTTTCAAGAGAAAAGGAGTATCTTAAGCAGCCTTGGGACCGAATGATGGAACTATACAAATCCTCGTTGATGCTTCCTTCTTTCCTATACCAAGGATGCCTAGCTTTCGTGGAAGCTGCACCTGGACCGGTTATGGGAAAATAGGAATACCAAAGAAATAGTGGCGATTGCTAGGGCTCGGAGCTAGGAGTGGGTGGAACCAGGTCATTGTACCTGCTGACTACTGCCTGATTGTCTGACCTAGGGAAGGTAGTTTAACTTCTCACCATCAGTAGCTCCACCTACTGTGGTGGTGAGGAGCAGTCATCTGGTCCACCTCTGACCCATGGAAATTGGAATCAGCATGGAATGAAATGCTATCTGGCCTAGTATCTTCTATATCCCTTGTGGATCAGACTGCTGTGATCTGAATAACTCAGTGGTTGATTTTTGGAAGCAGATTACTAGCCCTTCTTCCTAGTCCCCACGGTACCTTGTTCTAGCAGCATAGCAGCACACAGGCCTCCAGGGACAGGAGGGGGAGCGGGACATGAGGGGTATTGGCTAAGAATTGGACCCATGTCTCTCACATGGCAGGTGAACACCCTTCCTCTGGACCAGTCCCCCTCATCTTCATCTATAGACTATAATAATATCACTTGCCTTTCCTACTTACACGGGTTACTGCAAGGAACTAACGAGGCCTCAGTAGGAAGATAAGAAAGACATACTGATGGCATAACTAACAGTGATTATATTGTTGATTACTTACTTTGGGGGGGGGGTGTCGTAGTTCTTTAGTTTTTGCCTGGATTTTTAAGGGGGAGGGTATGTGAGTTTCTTTCAAAGTCAGCTCGCACTTTGGACATTTTCCCAAACCTGGAATGGGGGCTCCCCTCTTTGCTCTTATCCTGACTCTTTCCTGGAAGGTGACGTTTATCAACCCAAACCACCTCAACATCCATGTTCCCCGAAGGCCCATCATCTTCTATCATGTGCTCAACATCTAAAATACGTTGTGTGCAACAGGTGAAAATTCCAGGGTGCTGAAGCTGCCTCTCTGTGTTAAACTTCTCTTGGTGCCTCGACAGAGCCTCATGAAATGTCACTTGATTGGCATGTGGAAGGGCTGGAGCATGGCACAGGAGTAGGTGGAGGGGTAGATCGTAACGGTGAGGAGAGTGCATAAAGATCTGGTAGACGTGGCAAATCCCAGGAGCCTGGGCTCTTCTGGAATGTAAAGGAAGCTCAGAGGGCAAGTCCTCATCATCCGATAAGCTAAGTCTTGTTACTCTAGCCCAGGGGTGGGCAGACTGCGGCTCTCGAGCCCGATGTGGCTCGGAAGTAAAATGGAAAAGTTTTGAAGGATGTTATTCAGCTACTGGTGATTTCATCTGTTTGTAAAAACATATTGATGGCTCTCAAATAAGTTTTAAATTGTTCTGAGGGACAAGATTGGCTCTTCCATGCTCAAAAGTTTACTAACCCCTGCTCGACTCGAAGCTAGAGATGTGCCCACACCCAGTAGCCAGTGGGCCTAAAGCTACTTGGAGCTCTCTGGAAGATCAAAGCCAAGATTACAATCATGGGAATGGGGTGGGGAGTCTTCCAGCAAAGCCTGCCAGGCGGCCAAGAAGTGGGCATGTTGGAGTGGCCTGGTTCACCACGGGCACCTTCAGGAAGCCCTGGACCGAGCTGGTGGCAGCTCCTTACAGTGGTCACCAGACTAGAGGCAAGCCCCAAGAGTAGCCGGCCCGACGCTTGACCTCAGCTGTTTCCAGAGCCTTTTGACATGAGCCACTTGCCTCCCCGGGCCCTCGGTGATGGGAGACTGGGTCTGGGGGGTGATGTATAAGGAACAGGTGTGTATTTGTGAAATGCCTTCCCAGGTGGAAACTGCTGTTGCTGAACAAATGTTCTTGGGTAATGACCACGTGAAACATGAGAGGAATGTACTCATTAAAACTGGAGATAAGTGATCTGCGCCTGCCCCTTCCTGTGAACCACACCAGAAACCCGTGTGGTTTGGCAGTACATTTGGGCTTTGCAATAGCCCGTACTAGAGCACTGGGGTGATGGTATATGGACATCACGGTATATTGAACACTTGTTGTGTAGGAGACAGAATGCACAGGTGACTCCTTCTCCCCTGGCCTTTGATGGAATCAGTCTAGGTGGGGGTATGGATGGGTAAATAACCATAGGACCGTGAAGGGAGCAATCCTCTTGTGAGATGGGCTTGCAGGACTGTGAGCACGGGACGAGAGAAGATAGGAAAAACATCTGGATGGGGCTTTGATGGATATGTAGGAGTTCAAGCTGTAAATGAGAATGGCAAGACCAGAAGTCATAAACCCCATAGAAGAACAAGGCCCAAAGGTTTGAGAGTGGCCAGAGCCAGGGCAGTCAGTTCCCTGCTGTCTTTGTGTCATCTCCAGGCTGGGACAGATGGCGCTGCCCTGGACGGACTGAGAGACGTCAGGTCCAGGTCTAGCAGGGTGTGTATATATGTGTGTTTTGGGGGTAGGCGGGGAGGAGTGGTTGTAGCTTAGCCTCAAGCAGACGTTTGAATAGCTGAGGTGCGTTGCCAGCAGAGGGTCCCGCCACAGAGCTGCGTTTGGAAACATCAACCTTTGGTGGACTGTGCTGGCAGAGGGAGGATGACTTCATCTGGACTCCATGCTGAATCCACCACAGCCCCCCTGAGTAGTGCCTGAGGAGCTGGCTTTCCACCAGGCTGCACCTGGGCTACTAACGCTTCCCTTCGAAGAGCCCAGGCATGAGTTCCTCCCAGGTGGTCCTCTCATGCTCCAGGGTGAGCCATCCTGGGGACAACTGAGGCCAAGTCAAGACGAGGGTGTCTGAGAGGAGGTCTGTGGTGCTGTGCTAGCACTTGCAGTGGGGCCCGGGAGGCCCTGGGGATGGAGGAGGCACCGGGCTCCCAGGGGTGGGAGAGGCAGGGCTGGCACATTCAGATTTGCATTCTTCAAATCCCTCTGCCAGCAGGATGGAGTGAAATGAGGCCAGACACTGATATTTGGAGAATAAGCCACCCTGAGTGAGCCCAGGTGCAAGGGGGCAGCCTGGGGTCCGTGCAGGCTGGGTTGGAGTGGGGTGGATTCGAAGACAGGTGAAGGGTCAGGCCTCTAGGCATGAGGACCGCCTGGGGGAGGCGCTTCGACCAAGGCCGGGGGTAGCACGGCTAAGGAGAAAGGACGACTTTGCTTGGGACCGTGCCAAGGACCCACTACTGGCTGCGTGTACTTCCATCCACCCTCCCCAGGCCACGCAGTATGTGGATGACTGGTGGTTTGCACAGCTGCTGCCTTGCCCCTTCTAACACACTCACACACACACTTGCACACGCATGCATGTACGCCCAGGCCATGCTGTTGGGACCCTGGTGCCTGTCTCACTCAGCAGCCAATCCGTAGATACTCTGATAGACTCTCTCTCCCCACATACTCTCTTTCCCTCTCCCTGGTCCTTTTCCTACCCTGGGAAGAGGGGCTTCGAGGGGCTCAGCATTCTGGAGGGTAGGGTGGTGATGTGGAAGTGAGGTTAGCCCTTCTTCATCCTCCTGGAACCACATACACCACCACACACACCCCCTCCCACCCCAGGATGGTATTCAAGAGGAAGGACCCCACTTGGAACCATCTGAAGTCCCCGGGTGAAGGCCAAAGGCTGGTGGCCACCACTGACCATGTTCCTCTCGTCCTAGGATCTGAGCTCCTTTGCCATGCCACTTCTGGATGGAGAGTTGGAGAGCGTGGACAAGCATGCTCGCAAGGTAAGCAGCCTCCCTCTGAGCCTCTCATGTCCCACATATGGGCCCACTGAGATGCCACCCCCTACCCAGAGGACCGTGGGACAGGTCAATGACTCAGACTAAACACTCTCACCTCCCCTTCACCTCCTGCCACCAATGAGAGCACCCTACATTCTGTTCCCTTGTCCTCCTCCTCCTGAGCCCTGGGATGTGGTTAGAACCACAAATGTGAGTCAAGCAAGTGGTGAGCCTGGGACCTAAGGGGCCATGCAGCCAGCCCTGATGGCTGTGACATGAGGTCCGTGGGGGTTTGGTGACTGGTCCTCACAGATAGCAGTGGGTTCCTCAGCCCACCCTGCCCTGCCTTCAGTCTCCCCTTCAATCTGGTTTCACACACACACACACACACACACACACACCTACACACACGCACACGCATACCTTATCCAGATGCAACGGCACCCTTTCCTTCCCCTTCATCCTCATGTTCTGCTTTCTCCTGGGCCCCGGGCCTCTGTCTGGTTCGCTGCTGTCCCACACTGAGCCCACTGATTGCTTTCTCTTCCATTCGGAACCCCGAGTCTCCACACGACTGCTTTTTGCACTGGCTCCCACAGTCCGGAAGTCGTGTGTGAAGGGAGAAAGGGGATCAGAGCTTCCCTGGAAGGGTTGGGGGTCAAGCAAGGAAGGGTGGACCAGCTGCCTGCAAAGGGGAACCTTCCTGGGAGCCCTGAATACCAGACCCCTGTGGTGGGGATTTGAAGAAGGTGCTATTGGTACCAAGCCAGGTGAGAGAGGGGCAAGAGCAAGCAGGCCTGGGGAGGGTAGTGTAGGTGAATTCTTCTCCTGGACTCTGGGCGATGCCAGCCGGAACTGGGGCAGGACAGCGCTGGCCGAGGCCAATCCATTCCCAAAGCATTTTTAATTACATGGCATCGGATCAATCCATTGGTTTAGACATGTGGGGTGAAGCTGGCTCTAGGCCATGCCTGGCACCACCAAGCAATCCCATTAACAATGATGGGCCCAGACAGAAGTGGATCTCAGAAGACGCTGTGGCCATGGCCCCGGGAGCTTCCCAAGCGAGCAGGGAAGAAGTGGTTGTTGTGGGATGGGAGTGGCAAGGGGAGGGGGCAGGGGGTGGTGACGGAAAGAACAGTAGGCTGGTCACACCCGACCATAGGACACTGCCTCCTTGTCACAAGCGAACACTGATCTAAGGCCTCAGACTGCAGGGACTAAACACACACACACACACACACACACACACACACACACACACCGAGTCGGGCTGCAGTTTCACATAGCCCAACCCTGACCTCACCTGGGGCTCTCTGGAAGGGACTCTGAATAAAGTTGTGGTCACAAAGGAATCGTGTGGGACAGAAAGGGAGCATGACATTTTTCTTAACACCACCCAATATTGACTTAGAATTGTGGTGACGCTGGCCGTAGTATTGCAAACAAAAGACTAGGATGTGGGTCTGACGCTCCCGCCAAGTGAGGAGAGAAGACATACAATCACAGATTAGTGCTAGTAACAACTAGGAGCCCTGGTGCCGTAGTGGTTATGTTAGCCTGCTAGTCGCAAACTCAGCCGTTCAAAACCACCAATCGCCCTGCAGAAGAAAGACGGGGCTTTCTATTTGCATGAAGAGTTCCCGTCTTGGAAACTCTCAGGGGGCAGTTCTCCCCTGCCCTATGGGGTCGTTATGAATCAGTAGATTTGGTGGCAGCAAGTTGTCGACCAACAGCACTTGGCTGACCCATAGAGGCCCCAGAAGAATGAGGAGTTTAGTTCCTATGTAACTGGGAAGGCCTTTGTTCTCAATCACGAGTCTATTCCCTTTTTATTATTGTCGTTGTTAAGCATAGATAACAAAACATTTGTCATTTCAACCAATTTGATGTTGATTGTGTTTACCATGCTACGCAACTATGCCCACTATCCATTTCCATATTTTTCTACCACCCTAAACAGAAACTCATTAAAATATAATCTTCAACACCGTGGTGGGATACCAGCTATGTGTGGTAAGCTTTGGGCTGCTAACTACAAGGTCAGAGTTTCAAACCCGCGAGCTACTCCATGGGAGAAAGATGAGATGGTCCGCTCCCGTGCAGACTGTCAGAAATTCTGTAGTCGGTTGCGATGAGTCAACCTCAAGGTGATGGCTGCTGTTGGGTACTGTTGTATTGGTTCTTGTATCTAACAGAACAAAACACCTCCCAGTCCCAGAGCATCCTCACAGTTGTATGTTCAAACTCTCGTTGCCACCACTGAGTCCGTTCATCTTGTTGAGAACCTTCCATTGTACCAAGCACGATGCCCTTTTCAAGAGACTGGAAAGGCGTGCATGGTAGATGAGGGGAGTAGGGTGGGGTATTAGTTTATTTGTTTTCTTCCTGTATTTTTTAGTGCCTGCTGTGTGTTCTTGAGACAGGGCTTCAGAAGCAAAGTGTTTATCCTGGTGGGAAGGGAAGGGAAGGGAAGAGAAGGCAAGGGATTGGGGTGCTTGGATACCCACTGGCTTTTTGCTATGACTTTGGGGCCTCCTCTCTGCCCAATCTTCATCCCAGAGGAAAGACATGTCCTCCCTCTGACCTGAAAACTGGTTGGTTCCACTTTCCATTAGATTCCAATAGCCTTGACTTTGTATGGCCTTTTACAAGCAGATTTATTGCCTATTCATGTGGACGAGTCTCCAAATTGCCTGCGAAGGGCTTCCTTCTTTCCTTGCCAAAGTCTGTCCCTTCAATTAATGGTCCAGTTCAAAATGTAGGCACCATCAGAAGGAGAGCATGGCTTAAATTCCCCCTGCTTTCTAGACCCCTCTGAAGATAAGTTTTGATAGGGAGCGTCTTAGTCTCCTAGGGTGGCCATAAAAAAAAAAATTCCACACACTAGGTGGCTTAAAAGAACAAAACTGCACCATCTCATAGTTCTGAAGGCTGGAAGTCAGAATTCAGGAAGCCAACCAGGAAGGTTTGAGGGGGAAATAGCTTCCTGTTTCTCCTGGCCTCTGGGATACCTAGGTGTTCCTTGTCTTGAAGTTGCAGAAGAACCCCATAGTCGCATGGCCATCTACGCTCTGTCTCTCTCACTCCTCCTGCCATTCTTACTGGATTAGGACCCGCCTTACTCAGGATGCCCTCAAGTTAAGGGATAACATCTGTTAAGACCCTATTTCCAAACCAGGTATTATTAGAACTAGGACTTCAGTGCACCTTTCTGGGGACACATTCATTCTGTAACAGGAGGGCAGGAAGAGCATCAGGGGAGGCTGCCAGGCTCTTACTAGAGAAAGGAGGGAGGGAGGAAAAATGGGGGGGGGTCTGCAGGAACCCCTGGGGTCTCTGAGGAAGCAGTGCACCCAGAACCAGAGAGAGCAGAAACTGGAAGTTATAATCACTCCTGTTCCTGGAACCCGTGTTGGGTGATGGCACCCCAGGTGAGAGCCTCCAGGTCATACCTGTGAAGCAGGTTTGGGTAGGTGGGAACTTGCAACTGTGAGCTCAGCTACAAAAGACAATCACATCTCTTTATGTAAAGTCAACCCAACTCTCTCTCTCTAAGTCTTCCCTCCTACCAAGTGGGTGGGAATGGTGATTTTCACCATTAATGAGGCTTTCTTCTGAGGTTTGTATAAAGGTCCTGGGGTCCCATACAACACATAGACACTGATTTGTGACAACAAGGGAACTGGGCGTTCAGAACAGTGAAAAGATCTTCTCAGGATCCCATGGACCACTGTCGAGCCAAGCCTGAATCCAGGTTGCTTGAATCTTGGTGCGGTCCTATTTCTATTGGGCTGGGTCGGGCAGGCCATTCAGAGGAGGTGACTGACCTTCAGTAAGATATATAACGCCCTCCACCTCTCCAGCTTGTCTCCAGAGAATGCCTCCTTCCTTTCGTGAATTCTTCCCTTTGGGAGTGGATTGGAAAGCCAAGCTTCATAGTGACCTGAAACTCCGCAGACTGCTCTGTTTCCCAGGTACCATTTAAAGGACAGGAATGGGTATTGCTACCCTGTTTTCCCCCCACTCCGGTTGTCTTGGCCATCACTGTCCCTGAAGCTAACTGATGGCCATTCTAGAAACCAGGAGCATGGGCCTACTCTGGTATTGTTTCCCCTGAACGACAGAGCCTCTTTGATGTAACGTATCTCTGACAGGAAGCTGCCGGTCGTTCCCCCGGAGTCTGCATATCTTGCATCATGGGTTTTGCCAGGCTGTGCATAGCAGGGTTGTGCTAACCCATACCCCAGGGTCACCCAGCACCCATGATACTGGGACTGAAGAGTGAAGGGTCATGAAATGGAGGTACCAGTTTGGGGTTCCCATTCAGCTTAG